GACATCTTGGACCTCAGGAGCCTTCCACCTGTTGCCCTTAGGGAACTCGCCCGTGCAGCAGCGGTTAGAAGACTCTGGGAGGCATGGGCCAAGAGGCCCAATCGCGACGCTTCGGCCAACCTGGACCCCAAGGCTCCCGAGGGCTATTGGCTGGACCCCGTGGTGGCTGTTCTCCGAAGAGCCCGACCCGAAGAAGATCCCGACAGGCCTCATGTGCTCTCACTCCAGCAGGCGGGAACGTTGCGAGCGATTGTGACAGGAGGAATGTGGCCGCCCATACGTCGCCATTCTCTCGGGTGCATCGACAGCCCATCATGTACATTAGGTTCGCACAATGTAGCCGATGACTTTCACATTCCTTGGAGGTGCAATGCGACCGCAGAAGGTAGGAACTCCGTATTTAATGAGGCTGCTATTGCGGCGCTGCCCCACCCGAGTTCGACAGCACGGCTATGGTGTCGTGGTTTGTACTCCAAGGCTATGATACCGCAAGTTCCACCGCGAGATGATTCATTGGAATGGCATTCTCTCTACGGGGACTGCCCATATGTCACAGGCCTCGCTTTCACGGACGGTGCCTGTAGCAAGTGCCATTTTTGGAGTGATGCATGTCGGGCTGGTTGGGGATTTGCATAAGTGTCCGACAGTGGAGTACCATTGGTGGTTGATGGAGCTCTGCCTGGTCCAACCCAGTCTAGCCCGAGAGCGGAAATGCACGCAATAGTGCAACTATTGAAAGTCGCGCTGCTTCCGATCAAGGTGCTGACGGACTTCATGGAGCTTCCGCAAGGGATAGCACGTGGCAGGCTTTGGTGCTGCTCACCGAAGCGCCCGAATGCAGATCTATGGGTTGAAATATGGACGAGGGTTGAGGATCTTGGAGGCCTGAGCCCCGACTCAGAAATTGCTTACACCCCTGGACACCAGAAAGGTCGTTCTCTGGAGGCCCGAGGGAACCGCCGGGCCGATTTTGCTGCTGTCCAGGGCAGAGACCTGCACGCGGTCCCAGGGTCACAGGTCCAAGCTGTGAAAGCGCGTTTTGTTGCTGTAAAGAAAGCTTTAATATGGATGGCTAAGGCCCACACAGCATACCTAGGAGCCCCCCCTGGCCAGAAACGTTCGGACCAGCGTCGTCGACGTCGTCAGTCGAAAGCCGAGGGGGCGGGTTCTGTGAATTTCCGCCACAAGTTTAACACTGTTGCTGGAGGCTGGAGGTGTTTCACGCGTGGGAGAAGCACTCGGTCTGAGCAGCAGCATCGATTTCTGGCCAAGCGAATTTGCCCTGCGAAGGCGTCTGCCTCCACTCGCGTCTCTGGCGGGGGGGGGGGGGGGAACGGTGGGTGCGGGGACAGTGCTGCGATGCGAACACGTCCAAGGTCGCCAGCAGAGCAACCTGAACAGGAGCGCTCGGTCAGCGCCAGGAGGGAGAGGGAGGACCCCCCCCCTCATTCGACCTGCCCGCCTTGCCTCGATTGCCTTCCCGAGCGACGGTGACAGGCGAGTTCGATTTCGACCCGCGGCTGACGACAATGTCGCCGCCGCTGCTGCCAGACTGCGGCGCCCTGCCTCCCCTCCTCCCGAGTCTAACCCGCCGCGGAAGGCTCGTCGGGTGGCTCCCCGTGGGGGCGCCTGCGCGCCGAGCGCTCCGCCCGAGCGGGAGCTGCCCGCGTCTGGCGATCTCCCCGCAAACGCTGCTAGGGGCCACACACTTTCGGTCGCCCCAGGCAAAGTGGTGATCTGCATGGTGTGCGGGGGCATATCTACGGGGCGAGCATCGCCCCTGTTGGACCCCTGCACCCCACCCCCCTCCAAGAGAGGGATATCGCACATGTACAGGTTTAATCACAATAGGCACCCAGCGGACCTCCAGCGGCACGAGGAAATCTCGGGGCAAAGGAGACTGCATGTTGCTGACCCAGAGGTTGCCCGGCTCCGACTAGACGCCTAATCTTCTGCAATGGCCCGCCGTTGCATTCCATATGCATACTTCGAGCTCCACTTTCACTTTGCTTAGCTCACTCGCGCTGTCGCGCCTCTCCGCCGCGAGCCTTCGGGTGGGCAATGAGAGTGGCGCGCGTGCAGCGCTGGCTCGCCCTGCAGTGGGTGTGCCTCTCTCTGGTGGCCGTTTGTGCATTGCACGACGGATCCCCTCTATGCTGCGTAACTCCTCCTCCTCCTCCATTCCTTCTTCGTAAATAACATGTCTCTGTAACACCCTGAAACAAGTTGTTAGGGCGGGTCGGGCGTTTCGCCTGAGACTTTCTGATCATGTATGACTTTGAAGCTAACAAACTGACAACAGTTTCACAGATGGAGGGAGGTACCCAAAATGTGGCTCACGCCTTAGCGCTGCGCAAATTCGTTTCAAACATATTCTAAGAGTTTCACACCTTGAGGGCGCGTCGGTTTCAAGATGTGGCTCTCGTCTTAGCGCGGCGCACACTCGGTTGAAACATGTGCAAAGAGTCTCACGGATTGAAGGCGCGTCGGTTTCAAAATGGGGTTCTCGCCTTCGCGTGGCGCACATTCGTTCTACAAATGTGCAAAGCGCTTCCTGGATTGAGGGCGGCTCCTCTTCAAAATATGACTCTCGCCTTCGCGCGGTGCACATTCGTTAAACATTTGCAACAAGATTCACCTATTGAGGGCGCGTCGTTTTCAACATGTGGCTCTCGCCTTAGCGCGGCGCACACTCGGTTGAAACACGTGCAAAGAGTCACACGGATTGAAGGCGCGTCGGTTTCAAGATGTGGCTCTCGTCTTACCGCGGCGCACACTCGGTTGAAACATGTGCAAAGAGTCTCACGGATTGAAGGCGCGTCGGTTTCAAAATGTGGCTCTCGCCTTCGCGCGGCGCACACTCGGTTGAAACATGTGCAAAGCGCTTCCTGGATTGAGGGCGGTTCCTCTTCAAAATATGACTCTCGCCTTCGCGCGGTGCACATTCGCTCTACCAATTTGCAAAGACTTTCAAGGATTGAAGGGCGGTTCCTCTTCAAAATGTAGCTCTCGCCTTCGCGCGGTGTGCAAAGAGTTTCACGGATTGAGGGCAGGCCGGTTTCAACATGTGGCTCTCGCCTCAGCGCGGCGCACACTCGTTTGAAACATGTGCAAAGAGTCTCACGGATTGAGGGCGGTTCCTTTTCACAATGTGGCTCTCGCCTTGGCGCGGCACACGTTCGTTTTTCTTTTGACAAACAAATGCAAGAGTTTGACGGATTCCCATTATCAACGTACTAGAAACGGTGTTTTCAAATTCTTCAGGAAAATGTTGGTGCAGCAGTTATGTTGATTCGCTGTGTTGAAATCCCAGGAATGGCGTCCCAACGCGATTCAGGGTTGTCAAGACGCAACAGTCAGGTTGATCCGTGGCGTTGGAACCCCGAAAACAATGTTTCGGCATGATTCGACGTCTTCAAACGGTTGCCTTCCAAAGAGGCAGTTCCTTCAATGGGGATGAACCGCTGCAAAGCCTATGAAGAGGGAGCTCGGAGGGAGGGCTTAATCCAACATAGTTGATGCCTCTTGGGCTTCCAGTGGTCCTCCTCCTCCTCCTCCTCCTCCCCCTCCTCCTTCTCCTCCTCCTCATCCTACTCCTCCTCCGTATTGCCCCAGAGGCTAACAGAAAGAATGACGCCCGATCTCTTCGGGTGCCTGTGGGCCGAGATGCAATTCCAAGAATTAGGTATGCAAAGTCCGAACCATAATTTTGTCATTTTGTGTGCGTGTGTGTGGTTGTTGTTGTTGTTGTTGGTGTTGTTATTGTTATTATTATTGTTGTTGTTATTGTTGTTTGTGTTGTTGTTGTTGTTGTTGTTGTTGGTGTTGTTGTTGTTGTTGTTGTTTTGTTTTTGTGTTTGTGTTTGTTGTTGTTGTTGTTGTTGTTGTTGTTGTTGTTGTTGGTGTGTGTGTGTGTGTGTGTGTGCGTGCGTGCGTGCGTGCGTGCGTGCGTGTGTGTGTGTGCGTGTGTGTGTGTTTTGGTGCTTTGGTGCCTCGGCAGCCTGGGGCGCCGACACCTCTCCAGGCCCATGCGCTGGGCCCTCGAGCGACCCTCAGCCGCCTTCCGAGCCTGACAGGGCCGAGTTGCGGACAGCGCCCCCGCCAACCCCCCAGGGTGCCGAGCGCAGTGGCCCCCGCGAGGCCGCGCCCCACCCTGGGCCCCTCAGCCTGGTGCCGAGGGGGGCCGAGAAAATATGCGCCACGCCCAGGCCACCCGCAACGCGGGAAGAGAGGCCCGCGCGCCCCGAGCGGCCACCCCGCCCAGGCTCCTCAGCTCACGGACACCGCCGCGCCAAGGAGTGCCGAAACGCACAACAGAGAGACCATTCAGATCATTGAACGAGCACAACGGCCTCAGCACAGATCCTTGCCCGCCTTTGGGCCTTGGCCTCGCCTGATGCGGAGGAAACGCCACAGCGTCCACGATCCCAGCATCCCAGGGATCGAGCCGCCTGCAGGGTCCGCTGATGGCCCTGGCGATCGAGCTGCAGTAACCACACACGCGCACACCCCGAACGCAACGCCGACCTGGACGGCGTGAGAAGAGGCCCCCGCCGTAGCCGCACCGTCGCCCAGGTCCGAGGAGCAGGCGAGCTCGTCCTTGTCCCCCCGACCGACGCCGACACACCGAGCAGGGTGGGCCAACTGGGCTGGACTGCGGATCCGCACGACACAGTGCACGCAGAGGGCCTCAAACTCTTCGCCGTTGTCGTAGCCGTGGGCTTGCTCCTGAGTCCGAACCGCCACATCTCCACATTGATCGTCGGAACCCGAGGAGAGCGGCTCGTAGACCCACTGATGCCGCGGAGCTGGCGCGGGTGGAGCGCGGTCCCCCAGCAAGCTCCTGAAGCGCACCCTGAACAGGTGCCGCACGCCGAAATGATGCCGCAGGGCCGTCGTCTCTGTCTGCTGGTTGAGTCCGAGCCGGACCTCGTCCTGGCAAGCTGCGCCTGTCTAGCAGGCTCCGCCCACGTCCAGGGCGTGGCACACAGGTCGACGACGGTCTGCCGCAGCGCGCGCCCAGGGTTGCTCCTGAGGAGGTGCTCTCGGACGGGGGCCCAGGCGGCGGTGCCCACAAACACCTCCAGGTACTCGGAGCACCACGTGCAGTAGTCCCGCTCGTTGAGGTGGACGTCCAAGTCGAACCTGTCGATCCAGAAAGACGCCCAAACCACCGCGTCGTCTGTGATCGACCTCGCGTGGTGCTCTGGGATGAGCTCGGGGGGCGGCGCGCCCATGCACCCAGGCCCGTCTGGCAATGCCTTCATCCTGCTCAAGGCCGCCCTGGCTGCTGCCACTGGCCCCCAAAGGACCTGAGCAGGCGGCCCCTGCGGGGGGGTCTGGTCTGTCACGCGCAGCTCCTCGTCCTGGGCCTCGTGGTCTGGGCGCTGGCGCGCGGCGCGGCCAGTGGCGCCCCCGCTGCCACCAGCAGGGGAACCGCCGCACTTCCCCTCTCGACGGCAATCTTGACGATCTTAGCCGGGAGCCCTTGGAGTCGACCGCGACCTTCTTGCAGCTGAACGGCCGCCAGCTGGGTGCGCGCCACCTTGCCACCGTTGACGCGCTTGTGGTATCCCCGGCAAGCCTCCAGGACGCGTGGCTGGTTGGGCGCCGCCTTGGGGCGGGCTGTCGGGGGCGCGTGAGCGCTCTGCTGCTGCAGCCGAGGGCGAGGCACGACCCGCTTGGCCTCGCCGAGGAGGGCCCTGAGAGGACCACAGTACTCCAGCATGCGCTTAGTGGCCTTGAGCTCCTGCTTGAGCTGCGACACGACCCCCTCTGGCGGCACGCTGAGGTCCGCCCTTCCTTTAGCCCGAACGTCTGCGAAGTGACTGTGTCTCCTGTGAGTGAGCCCTTGCGAACCAGGTAAGTCGTCCTCTAAACGCTGCTTGAGGGACTGGCGCCGCTCCACGCCGATCTGCCGTTCCAGGTAGGAGGCATGGTGACTGCACCACAGATGCCAAGCTGAGAGCTCCCGCACATCCTCGTGCTGCCTCTCGCGGGAGGTGAAGACTTCAAAGAGATTCTGCGGCTCCTCGATACCTTCCAGCAACACGTAGTGCCTCAGACGATCGCGCAAGTTGCGGATGGAGGCGCTCTGCTGCTGAAGCAGGAGACAGACATCTCGAAAGGTGGGAACCGCGTTGTACGCTGTGAGCTGGTCCCGCACTGAGGCGGACGTCGGGCTGCGGCCGCGCTGCCAGTTGCAGAGCTGCATGGTGCCGAACTCGTTGTAGTCGACGCCGAGCTGGCAGTAGGGCGCGCCCGCCTGGCCCGACTTGAAAGGGGGCTCCTGCGAGGGGGAACCGCCGAGCGCCGCTTGGTTGACCGCGTCCGCGTGGTGCTGCAACCAGCCGTCCTGCCTGCGCCTCTTGATCCGCTGCCGCGCGGGCGGCAGCCAGGGCGAAGGAAGGAGCGCAACTCGATCTGGCTTGGCCGCTGCCCACTGAGCTGGGGCTCGGCTACGGGTTGCGTAGAGGAGCGCCACCTCCACCGACTTGGGACCCACTTGCAGCATATCGAGGTGGACGTCGGCGCCTTGTAGCTCCCCCCCTCGCGGCGGAAGAAAAATCTCGTAGCACTTGGCCAAGTCGGCCAGCATAGTAGCGGCACGGGTGCCCGTGCCAAGGGCCAGCTCCGCGTCCAGGAGTGCCTTCCACAGCGCTTTCTCTGACGACTGCCCAGCTGCCGTGTAGTCGTAACCCGCGGGGTGTGCTGCCCCCCACCGTCTCATGGAGGGGAGCTGCCAGGTCTCCCAGACTCTGCCTGGGCAAGGCCACACGATGGGCCGCCCACCGCCGTCAAGCTTTCCAATGATGAAGGCGAGCAGGAGGAGCGCCCGCGACGGCCACGTCGAGCGCTCCAGATGCTCAGGGAGGTTCTCCCAAACCGCGACGCCGATCAAAGGTAGCTGGAGCTTGACCACCCACACGATGAAACCGGCCAAACTAGCCACGTTGCCCACAGGCGAAAACCTCTGACCAGTAACGCAGTAAGCACAATAAAGCAAGAACTCGCCACTGTGTTTGGCTTCGATCGTGGCCATCCAATGTCTGCCCGCACCTCCTGGGGGAGAGATGTCCCAGTGTCGCTGCTCGGGCGCAAGAGTGACGCTGACACATGCAGGCACAGCATGCAAGACGCCCACCGAGTCGCGCCCGCTCGGTCCGTGGGTGGCTGGAATTGGCAGGGCCCTCCATCCCAGCTGGCGCACCCTCGCGCTCTCCTCGGCCCACAAGTGTCGCTTGCCGTGCTCCTGGAAAGCCTTGAACAGAAACCTGCCCTCGGACCTCTGCTGGTACGCCGCGCCCTGGAGGCACGCCACGCCGTTGCCCCAACTGAGGCCGGCGTTGAGGCTGTGGAAGGTTAAGGGCCTGTTGCTGCGCCGCCGTCGGGAACCCTTCCGTGCCCCTGCCGCCGGTGGTTGGCATGGCCTGCCACCGCTGTCCTCGCTGATGGCCGTCAAGTTCGCCTCGCTCTGCCCGTCAACATCCAGGCAGCCTCCTCCAGGTTGGGCAGGGCCAGAGAGACCCCCCTCTGTAGTAGACTGCGTCGCCCTGCCTGAGAAAAAACCCTCTGCGGTATGGGCACCTCCAAATGAACACCTGTCAGAGGGAGCCGCTGAAATCCGTTGGGCCCCCGTGCGAGAGAGACCACCAGCTGAAAGACGATGGTAATCCCCAGGGAGAGCACCGCGCAAACCTCCAGCAGGGTCGTGGCCGGGGTCGGGCTCCTGGGCCTCCAGCGTCACGGACTGCCGATGGGGGCCTCCAGGCCGAGCGCCAGGGACGATGACTGAGGGAGGCTGGAGACCACAGCCTGACACGCCACCGTCGTCTGAGGCACGCCGACCCTGGGCAGGCGGCGGGGCCTCGCCAGGGCCGTCTGGGAAACCATCGCCTGAGAAACGTTGGGCGTTTTCAAGTGGAACTGCTGCCTGCGCTGGTGGCCCGCCGTCGTCTGGGGACAGCGGGCCCTTGGCGAACTGGGGGCCTGGACGGCAAGGAGGCCCCGGCACTGTAGGTTGACGTCCCAGACCATGCTGTGGTTGGCCTCCTTCTCGTAGGCGGCCTCCTCAGCTGCCTGCCAGTCATCCACGCTCTGCCGTAGAAGTCGCCTGTAGACGATGCTCCACGGATGACTCCAAGCATCGTCGCACAACTCCTGAGCGAAACTCCCCCTCTCTGCGGCGCGCACGCCGCTGCCTGGGGCTGCCGCCAGGTCGTCCAGCATGTCGGTGTGCTCCAGGGAGCCCCGCTGGTGGAATATGTAGGAGACCGAGTTCCAGTGGCGGCTGTCCTGATGGGGAGGCTCCCAGGCGCGGTGTGAGGCACCACCGCCTCGCCCTGCGCCGCCTGCGGGTGGCCAGGATGCCCTGCTCGCGCCTGCCCACGCGGGCCAGCCATGGCGCGCTGGGCCTGGCCCCGGGCTCACTTCCTGGGCACCGCGTGGGAGGCTCACGCAGTGACGTCCGCTGGGACGGGTGTGGCTTGGGCCAGCTCTCGCCTGAGCTGCTCCAGCTTGGCTGGGCCACCTGGGCCGCGCAGGCTGGGTGGCTCAGCAAGGCTAGCACCAGCAGCAGCAGCAGCACCGTCCCCAGGTGGCTGCCCAGGGGCTGCGTCCTGGCTGGGGGCGGCGGCAGCTGCCGCGGCTGCCTGCGGATCGCCTTCGCCTGCTGCCGCCGCCTGGCCAGCTGCTGGTGCTGCGGCGGCTGGCACTGGGGCTGCAGCTTCGGTGCGGGGTCGCTTGCGCCTGGCGAGAAGCAGCTGATGCTTGGCGTCGATCTCGCTGCGCCTCTGCTCCAGCTGCGCCTTGGCGTCCCCAAACGTGGCGCGGACGCGCTGCTTGACCTGGTCGACGAAGCTCTGCAAGGACCTGCTGAACTCCTCACGCTCGGCATCTGCGATGTCCAAGTCGGGATCGTCGAGCTTGAAGGCGTCGCCCGCTTCGACCTGGAAGTCCTCCGCCAACAGCGCCGTGACGTTGAGCCCGACGATTGGCTTGGGTTCAGCTCCTGGCTGCTGCTGCTCCGCCTGCGCCTGCACCTGGATACCTTTGGGCGCGGCGGCCTTGTAGGCGTCCTCCACTTCCAGGTTGCACGCCAGGAGTGCCTCCCCCGCGCGCAGCTCCTCTTCGCGGCAAGCCTGGAGCCACTGCTCGGCATCGCGGACCTGCTGGGTCTTGGCAGCAAAGGTGGCCTGAGCCCTCCGCTGCTTGGCCTGCGCACGGTTGAGGGCCACGTCGGGCAGCACCGTGGCCACAACGGGCGGTGCGACCGCCAACTTGAGGGCCTCCAGCTGCTGGCACTGCTCAGGGTGCCGCGCCGCCAAAGCCGCGAGGCACTCGGCGTCGGAGGGAGGGCTGGCCGCTGGCGGCGGGTCGGCGTACCAAGCCTCGTCGTGCGCCACCCACGGCTTCCGCACGAAGGACCAAGCCGCCGCCCATGGCCGTGCGGCCTCGTCCACGACGGCAGGCTTGAGCGCCTTCTTGCACTTGTAGCACTCGGCTCTAGACTTGAAGTTCCACTTGTACGAGCAGTGCGCACAGCGGACGTAGTCCGAGGGGTCCGAGCCGCTGGCGTTGGTCTTGCCCGCTTTGCCAACTCCCTTGCCCTTGGCCTTGCCGCCGCCCTTGGCCCGCGGCTCCGACCTGGCCCTCTGAGAAGCATTGGACATGACGAGTGGGCAGCGCACAGCCTACCCCTCGCCCACAACTGGGTCAAAACTGTCGGGCGGAAACGCCCTGGCACTGGCCGCGGACTAGCGGTATCCACGCGTTCCCGTGTGGAACAAAGCATCTTGAGCCAAAATGGCTTGAGCCAAAATGGCTACGGGTGTGTGTGTGTGTGTGTGTGTGTTTCTGTATGTGACATGTGTTATGTCCCGCCTGGTGTTTTGTTTTGCGTGTTTTTTTTTTTTTTTGTGTGTGTGTGTGTGTGTGTGTGTTTTGTGGTGGCTTGTTTTTTTTGTGATTTTCTTCTCTTTTCTGTTTAAAACAATGTGGGAGGAATCTGCCGCGGTCGATCGCCCGGGGGGGTTCGACTGCCGCCCTGGCGCGGATCGCCCCCGCCAAAATTCCTTCAAAAGGGGGAGCTTAGGCAGGTTTTTTTCCCGCAGGCGCCCCCGCTCGCCTGGGAGGGCGCGGGGGGTCCTGGATCGCCCAGGGGGGTTCCAGGACGGGCCGACTCGCCCGGGGGGGGGTCGGTCCGAGCAGTGGAATCATCTGGGGGGGTCTCCGCCGCTCATTTCCTGCACGAGTCGCCTGGGGTGGTCTCGCGCGGGAACAGCCCTCGCGACTCGCCCAGGGGGGTTCCACGGGGGCGAGGTAGCCCGGGGGGCGCCTCAGAGGACAGTGCACGGCGCGAAGGATTCACGCGAATCTTTCGCGGGACTCTCGCGAATTTTTCGCGGGGGGCCCGGACTCCCGCGAATTTTTCGCGGGAGGCGCAACGGTCGGACAGTCGCGCAGGGGGGGTGGGGGTTGGGGGGGGGCGAAGAAGAGAGGAGGGGAAGTCCGATGCCAAAGCCTCGAGGGCCACCTCCGGGGCCAAGCGAATGACGGACAATTGGAGCAGGGAGCGGCTAAGGATAGAGAAGGGGGGCGAAGGATAAGAGCCGGAGGGGGGCGCGAGCGGCGCACCGAGGAGCAGAAGCGGAGAGAAAGGGAGTTCTCCGGTTGATCACGCCAAGAAAAAAGGGCGAGGTTGATGACTAAACTAAGGCTCTGACTTTGCACACACACACACACAACAATAATTCTTTCGTCCCTGAGCCCCACGTCGGGGAAGGGGCGCACACACTTGCCGAAAGCCATGGACTTGGCCGCCTCCAGTGCAGAACTTACAGCCGAAGCAATCAACAACGAAACCTGTCACCCTCCCATAACGTAAGAGAACCAACGCTGGCACACCTGGATCTTTGACTGGGCGCGTGCTCCCGCACAGCGAACGGATGGCGCTGACGCGCGGCCCCGCCTCCGACGACATGGCGAAGTGAAGACGCGTCGCCGCGCCGTGTGCTCTGAACGCGCCCCAAATCGACGAAACCGACACCACGGCAAACCCACGGCAAACTCTGCGTCCGAGGCGGAGCTTGCCCTGGCTGCCGAAGTGCCCTCCCCAAGACGGAAGGCCACGAGTCGGAAGAAACGGCGCGGCGACACACGGGCCGCGCGCAGGCGGGAGCGCAACCCTCGAGCCATCCCTGCGCTGCGCCTGGGCGCGACCGCGATGTCGGTCTCCCGCGGGCGGCCGCATGTTTCGGACGAGAGCGGCGAAGACACAAGCATGCACCGCGCCGAGGCGGGGGGCGCCACTGCCAGGCGACACCTGCGGCCGAGCATACGACCCAGAAAATCAGACTTCCAGAAACCCGGGCCAGCCCTCCGAAGTTTCTTGAGACGAGCCTGGGCCGAGTGTTCGCGTTCTGCTGGAGGGGCGGACGCGCCCAAGAAGCCGGGCCAGCTTCCTGGCAAATCGGAGGGTAAGAAACGCTGGCCCAGCCCTTCCGGAGGAGGTGTCTTAATCAGATGCTCGACTGCAGTCGGCGATTGGGCGAGAGCGCCATTCCGCCCGATCGCGCACGGCCCCGCCTTCGCGCCAACTGGCCAGGCGAGCGAAGAGAAGATGCGCTGCACCCAAAATCGAGAACACCGCTTCCAAGCGAACTCTGCAAGGCGTTTGGGCGAGAACGGCATTGCACCCGCTCGGGCGCGGCCCCGCTTCCCCAGCGACCTGGCGGGTGAAAAATATGCGCCGCGCTCAGGCGAGGGGCCACAAACAGGCGAAATATCTGCGCGGCGGTTGGGCGAGAATGACGTTTCGCCCGCTCGCGCGCGCCCCCGCGCCCGACGAATTGGCCAGCGAAGACTATGCGCCGCGCCCGAAGCGGGAGCACAACAAAGGGCGCATGTCAGATACCCCCCGTTGGCGCCTTCCCCGCCTCAGCGACGTGTGGCAGGTTCGTGTCGTGACGACTTCGGCATTGGTTTCGGACACCGCGCGATCGTTCAGCCTTGAACGATCGGTGGCCTTTCGCTCGTCAGATCGTGCAATGTTGGCCGATTTTGAGCCACTGGCGACGCTCAAGGCTGAATGCCCGCGCTAGGATTGCAGCCGTACGACACGAACCCATCGTACCCTCACAGGCGACTCGGACGCACCCTGCTTCACGCCCCTTCTGGTCTGGTGCCGAAGGTCAGGCAGCGCAAAGATAACTTTGGACCAAAGCCCTTCTCCAGGAAAAAGACGTTCCGTGTGCATGTGAAAGCACATCGCACGTCAAAGAACATGCCTCGCGCATGGTGGATGCCCCCCCTAGCCTCGACTTTGAACGTGAAGACGCGTTCCAGGCGCATGTTGGATACCTCCCCGTGGCGCCTACAAACGAGAAGCTGCTCTCCAAAAGCACGCCGATGGGTCTGGTCAAAAAGCCCCCCTTTGGCGCCTACCCCCTTCGGGCGTGTTTTGTTTTACGTGCGAAGAATCCGCCAGCCACTCCGAGGCACCCTGCCTTGACCCCCATCTGGTCTGAGGCCAAGGCCAAACAACACCAAAAGAACCTTCGGCGGGAGCCCTCACGGAGAAAACAAAGAGAGAGAGAGAGAGAGAGAGAGATACAGAGGAGGAAGGGAGGAGGGGAGAAGGGACTGGGGGAGCAGGTAGTGATAGAGTATGACAAAAAAAGTCACGAACATAAACTTCCATAGGTCCGCGCGGATTTCTTGGATCGGCACTGGGGCTCCCTGACAGCGCATCCAGCGCCGTCCCTGGAGCAATCCACGCGCCAATGAGGGGGGGTCCAGCGTCAATCCACGAACATCTGCGCGGACCTCCGAAAGGATGTGCTCACGGTCAGGAACTTGTGCCCAGCGTGTCGCGGCGGCGACCCCGGCGACACACGATACGCCCTGCGAGCGGACAGCGCGTTGCCCCGCTCCGCGGGGCGGGAGGCTGGGAGAGGCGTGGGACGTCGACGCCTGGGAACTTGGGCGTGGATGGCGTGTCGCGCCGAGGGTGGGCCAGAACCGGCGGAGCGACACGCGAACCAAAAGATCCAGACCGCATGCCGTCGTGGCCCCTTCGGACCGCGAGGGTGGGGGCAGGCAGAGGGGCAGAGTGGCGCGCGGGGGGCGCCTGCAGCTTGCCGCCATAGAACTTCTGCGAAGGGAAGCGGCGGATGGACGCGTGCCTGGGGCTGGGTGCACCCCGGCCGCTGCCCCGGCAGTCTGTCGCAAGCCCTCGTCGTCGTCGGCCTACTCGTCTTTCTCCTCCTCCTCCTCCTCCTCCTCCTCCTCCTCCTCTTCCTCCTCCTCCTCCTCCTGCTCAGCCATCTTTTCTCCCTCCTCCTCCTGCACCTCCTCCTCTTCCTCTTCTCCTCCGTCCTCCTCTTCCGTCCACCACCTCCTCCACTTCTGCCTCCACGTTATCCCTTTTCCTCCACCTCCACCTCCTCCTCCCTCCTCCTCATTCTCTCCTTCCTCCTCCCTTCTCATCCTCTTCCTTTCGCCTCATCTGTTGTCCTCCCTCCTCCTCCTCCTCCTCCTCCTCCTCCTCCTCCTCCTCCTCCTCCTCCACTTTCACCTCCATCATCTCCTCATCGCTTTCGTCCTTGTCATCCTCATCGTCCTCCTCCACTTCCACCTCCTCTCCCCCACCTCCTCATCCTCGCCGTCCTCTTCCTCCTCCTCCCCCTGCTGCTGCTGCTGCTGGTCATGATCCCCTCTTCCTAGCTATCCTCCTCCTCCTCCTCATCCTCCTCCTCCTCCTCCTCCCCTCCTCCTCCTCCTCCTCCTCCTCCTCCTCCTCCTCCTCATCATCATCATCATCATCATCATCATCATCATCATCATCATCATCATCATCATCATCATTGTTATTATCCTCCTCCTCCTTCTCCGCCGCGCCGTGCCAGAATGGCCACTGCGCCGCTCGCCCAGGCAGGGGCCGCGGCCCGACTTCGACCTGCGCCCCCGCGAAAGTCGGGGGGCCTCTCCTCCGGGACCGGGGCTCGGCACCCTCAAGCAGGGCCCAGTAGCTGGGCGCCCGAGTTATCTGGGGTAACTCGGGTCCGGGGTAACTCGGGCTTGGACTCCCGAAAAAGGAACCCGAGTTATCCCTGACCCGAGTTACCCCTGATGATTCTGGGGCTCTGGACGCCCGAGTTATCCGGGGTAACTCGGGTCCGGGGTAACTCGGGCTTGGGCTCCCGAAAAAGAAACCCGAGTTATCCCTGACCCGAGTTACCCCTGATGATTCGGGGCTCTGACCCAGGGCACCCCATGAACGAAGCTGGCGCCGAGAAACGAGCAAGGAACGAGTGGGCTTCTTCCGGCCACGGCGAGCCTCGGCCACGAACAGGCCCCCCGATCCAGATCTGGGGAGCGGCCCGGAAAGCAGAGCCCCTCCCGAACTCGAGATGGCTGGGCTGCAGGAGCAAGTGGTCCAAACAGCGGACCCGAACGGCGAGGTTCACGGAGCCTCCACCCTCCGGCGTCGGAGCCCGCCCGGCCGACGCCCGACCAGGGCCGTGATGCCCGAGCTCGCTTGGCCGCTGCATGGGCTCGCCCTGGGAGCCTGGGACACCCGACTTCGCGCATCGCTCCCCGCGGTGCGCGGTCATCTTCACGCCCTCGCGCCAAAGGGTAGCTGCTCTGGCCCAGACCGCAATGCGCGACGCGGGATTATTTTCGCGCCCCCCGGGGGGGCCCACGAGCCCGTTCGGGGGCCCTGGGAATTTCTAAGAAAGAGAGGGCTCCTCGGAAGCCGGGGAGGGCCTCAAAGAAGACCCTGGCCTTCTCAGAGGCCCTCCAGGCTTTCCCTTGATGCCTCCCCCTCGCGCCATCCCGTTGAGGGCGCCGCCAGCGTTCGGCGGCCGAGCGAACTCGGACGCCGAGCAGGGCCGGCGCGGGCAGCGACCGGCGGAGGGCAGCGACTCGGCGCCGCCGTCGCCACATGCCGTCGCATGCGGGCGCATGCTGCCCCCGCCACCGGCAGCGTCTTTTTGCTGTCGCTGCCGCCGCACGCCCGCCGCTGCCGGCCCGCCGCCGAGGGCACCTCCGCCGCTGCCGCCGCCGCCGGCCCGCCGCCGGCCCCACGCCAGCCCGAGGCCGGCGCATGCGGTACTGCACGTTGAGGAGGGTGCTGGAGGGCAGCCTGGGCGGCGGGCGGGGCGGGGCGGGGCGGGCCGCGGGAGCCGGCGGCGGGTGGAGGGAGGCGACGGGATCCAGGGCGCGGACCCCCGACGTCTCGTGGACGGCCGCCGGGGCCCCGCGAGGGGCCCCCCCATGGAGGCCGAGCGGTGCCCAGACCGCTCGCCGCGTCGGGGGCGGCAGCCTGGGCTGCGGATGGCCGCCCGGGCGGCGGCGGCGGCGGGCGGGCGCGGCGGGCGCGCGCGGGGCAGAGCGTTGGGAGGCGCGCTGGGGCCAGGGTTCGGCCGCGCAGCGGAGGGCCGCCGTCTGCCAGGCGGGCAGAGCACCGCAGACCCCCGCCGAGGCGCTGGGAGCGACGGGGGGGGATATTGTGAGTGTGCAGGTGCGGCGGCGAGGATGAGGATGAGGATGAGGATGAGGATGAGGATGAGGATGAGGATGAGGATGAGGATGAGGATGAGGGTGAGGGTGAGGGTGAGGATGAGGATGAGGAGCACTGATCAAACTGCCAGGTCTGCGAACGGGCTACCTTTGAACAGTCCCTGTGCCGACGAGGCGTTGCCAAAGGGGGACGCCCGTCGCCTGGCCTGGGGAAGCCCCAATTCGCTGCGTGTTACTGTCGGTTGCTAATGAGGGCGCGGCCTGGGTAGAAACACACACTGGGACTGTGCAAGAGTGGCACCCTGCACCAAACAACCGACCACAAGCTAGTTGGGTACGCATTGCGTAACCGTAACCGATAGTCCCGGTTGAGTACCACTAACGACGAACATGATGTGCCATATTATGGCGAAACAAATACCGAATGAGCTAAGCAACGTAACGAAAGTGGACCGTGACAATCACTGCCATCACCCAACCAAGCTTGACCCCGGAAATTGCCTACAAACTGCGCGTGGCGGATGCCTGAGATACAGCCGTGTTTCTTGAATCGGTCTGGCCGAAAACAATGGACCGCAAGCTGGCTGGGTATGCAGTGCATGGCCTCAACCTACCGTCCTGGCAGAGTTCCAGAGGCGATGGCACTGCAGGTCATAATTATGTGTGCCAGCTGGAAGCCCGGCAGAAGCGCGGCTGGCACCCTTCTCCACAATACCTCCTTTCCCCACAGTTCGGAGTCCACGCTGGAAGCAGTGCGTAACAAAGAGGGGGAAAGCAGAGTCAGTGGAGCGGGCCTGCTGTGGAAGGGGCAGGAGAGGAAGTTGGGCCAGCCCGGTTGGGCTGCCCTTTTGGGCCCCACCGCGGGCACCCTACTGCCAAGTGGAGCGGGCCTGCTGAGGGTTGAGCGGAGGGGCGGGCGAGCTGGAGGAGGATGCAGAAGAGAAAGAGTGGAGAGGAGGCACGCGCAACGGGACCCAGATAATTACTGAACATATCTGCCCCGGGTGTTAATGTTCAGAAACAGTCTGGGACCACCCCGCTCCATCTCCACGCTGCACTACCCCGCTGATCGGTGTCCGCACTGGGACACGGCACCGCCACAATGATATAGAGGCTAGCACCACCATAACTACGGAAGGCCCGATTGCGCATTGCAGAAGCAGGCGTGGCCCCACTTGGTGATTGGCGGACCCTAGGTAATAATGGTCCCACACCCCATGCCCTTACTCCTGCTAAATACGGTACTGGCCAGGCCCTCGATAATGCAGGAGTGCGCGTGGCACCTCAACCTTACTGGTTGACCCTGGCACACGATGTCGCCCAATTCCTCGGACACCGAGGTCTTAGCATAACAAAATCGGCGCTGCGAATGACAAGCAACGTTGCCGTGATGGTTGAATCGGTCTGGTCGAAACAGCGGACCACAAGCTAATTGGGCATGCGCTGCGTAGCCTCAACCCACAGTTCCGGCACCAAAAACAATGACGACGAATATGATGTGTCATCTGATGGCAAAGCACATACCGAGTAGGCTAGGAAGCGGAGCGAAGGTAAACCAGGACAACTGTTGCCACCACCCCACCAAGCTGGACCCCGGAAACTTCCTACAAACTGCGCATGGCGGTGCCAGACCTCCAGCCGTGTTTCTTGAGTCGGTCTGGCCGAAGCAACGGACCGCAGGTCTTACTGGGTATGCAACGCATAGCCTCAGCCCAGTCATGACAGAGTTCCAGAGGCGACGACGCTGCAGGTGATAATCATGATCATGAGCGCCATGTGGTGGTCGGGCAGAAGCGCGTATGGCACCCGACTCCACAATGCCTTTCCCCACAGTTCGGGGCCCACGCTGGTAGCAGTGCGTGCCCAAGAAAAGTGGGAAACCAGAGTCAATGGAGCGGGCCTGCTGGGGGTTGGGCGGAGGCGCGGGCGAGCGAGGTGGAAAGGGAAGGGGGGGGGATTGGGGCTGCGCAGAGGAGAAGGCGGAGGGGGGTGGGGGAAAGAGGAAGGGAAGCAAATTTAGGAAAAAGGGGGTCGCGTACCATTACAGCGCGAGGGGGAAGGTAGTAAACGGCCAGGCGTGGGGTTCTGCGGCGGAGCGAGCGAACGAGGTGGGAAAGGGCTAAGTCGACACTCAGTGGCTGTGTGGGGTTGGGCCAGCAGGGGCAACAGAGGAGGTTGGGCCAGCTGGGTTGGGCTGCCCTTTTGGGCCCCGCTGCGGACACCCTACTGCCATGAAGGCACAGAGGCGATGCAGCGGGGCTCGGGGGGCGAAGCCAGCGGGGGTAGCACGACGGCGGCCAGAGAATCGACATCGCACCCGAGTGTCCACGAGGTGGGACGACCTCGAAGTGTACGACCTCGAAGTGAACGCCTCGCGGTGAAGACCTCGAATTGAGCGCATCGAGGCGGTGACTTCGAAGTGCGCAGGATTGAAAGAGGGAGGAGGGGGGGCAAATCCTCCCAGCTACCCTACGGAATGCCCTTGGTCGCCTGCCAACACTCCACCCGTGATTGTTGGATCGGCCCGGCTGAAGCAACGGACCGCAGGCTAGCTGGGCATAGGCTGCATAGCCTTAACCCAGAGTCCCAGCAGAGCACCAATGACGACGAAGATGATGTGTCATCTGGTGACAACGGAACGAAGGTGGACCGTGACAGCCGTTGCCACCACCCCACCAAGCTGGACCCCTGAAATTGCTTGCAAACCACGCATGGCAGACGCCAGAATTCCAGCCGTGCTTGTTGAGTCGGCCTGGCCGAAACAGCGGACCGCAGGCTAGCTCAGTATGCAATGCATAGCCTGAGTCCACAGTCCTGACAAATTTCCAGAGACTCTTTGATGGGGCTAACGCTTCATAAGTTTGAAGGGACGATTCAGGGACGCGCTGGAGCAAGCACGGCGGCAGAACAGCGCAAATGGTTGGCACTGGCAGACGGTACCGCCCAACCATTTACCGCCCCCTAGCCTGAACCGGTGATTGTTGAGTCGGGCTGGCCGAATCAACAAGCCGCGATCTACTTGGGCTTGCGAGGAATAGCTTTAGCCCACAATCCTAACAGAAATCTCGAGGTCTTGCCTACCAGCGTGCGGCCTTCGATGCCAGAACTGTGCTTGTGATTGTTGAATCGGCCCGGCCGAAGCAACGGACCGCAGGCTAGCTGGGCATACATTGCACAGCCTTAACCCACAGTCCCAGCAGAGTACCAGTGACGACGAAGATGATGTGTAACCTGGTGGCAGTACAGATGCCAACCAAGCTAAACAAAATAACGAAGGTGGACCGTGACAAGCGTTGCCACCACCCCACCAAGCTGGACCCCTGAAATTGCTTGCAAACCGCGCATGGCAGATGCCAAAATTCCAGCCGTGCTTGTTGAATCGGTCTGGCCGAAACGACGGACCGAAGGCTAGCTCGATATGCAATGCATTGCCTGAGTCCACAGTCCTGACAGAGTTCCAGGGACTCTTGGTGGGGCTTGCACTTCATAAGTTTGAAAGGACGATTCAGGGATGCGCTGGAGCAAGCACGGCGGCAGTACAGCGCAAATGGTTGGCACTGGCAGATGGTACCGCCCAACCATTCACCGCCCCCTAGCCTGAACCAATGATTGTTGAGCCGGGCTGGCCGAATCAACGGACCACGATCTACTTGGGCTTGCGAGGAATAGCTTTAGCCCAGTGTCCTAACAGAATTCTCGAGATCTTGCCTACCAGCGTGCGGCCTTCGATGCCAAAACTCTAATCGTGTTTGTTGAATCGGACTGGCCGGAGCAACGGACCGCAGGCTACTTGGGTATGCGAAGCATGGCTTTGGCCCACAGTGCTGGCAGAGTTCCAGTGCTGATGGCCCTAGCCTAAGCGGGTGCAACGCGGTGGATGCCAGGACTCCTGCCGTGATTGTTGAGCCAGGATGTCCGAGACAACGGACCGCGATCTACTCAGGTATCAAAGGCATAGCTTTAGCCCGCAATCCTATCAGAACTCTCGAGATCTTGCCTAACAACGTACGGCCTTCGATGCCACAACTCCAGTCGTGTTTGTTGAGTCGGGCTGGCCGGAGCAACGGACCCGAGGCTACTTGGGTATGCGAAGCATAGCTTTAGCCCGCAGACCTGGCAAATTTCCAATGCTGACGGCCCTAGCCTAAACAAATGCGGCGCGGCGGATGCCAAACATCCTGCCGTGATTGACGAGTCGGGCTGGCCGAAACAACGGGCCGCGAGCTAGTTGGGTATGCGAGGCATAGCCTTAGTCCGAAATCCGAGCAGAGTTCCCGAGGTCTTGCCTAACAGACTGCGGCCCCAGAGCATGCCTGGAGTCCAGAAAATATGATGAAGATGGTGATGCTGTGCCAATTGGTGGCAGGGCAGAAGCGGGCTGGCCTGCTTGTAACTACTCCACAGTGCCTTTCCCACTGCGCGGGGCCCACGCTGGTAGCATTGCTGACCATCGGTAAGGGGGAAACGGAAGGTAGTCAAGCGGGCCAGCCGGGGGTTGGGCGGAGGAGTGGGCGAGCGAGCTGGGAAGGAAAAGGGGATATGGGGCTGCCTGGGACACGGGCAGCACGTGGGGGGACAGGACGAAGGGTGGAACGTGCCGCAATATCCGTGCATGGAATGAGGAGCACTTGCTCGGGCCTGGGGACCAGCCCAGCAACCTACTGGCATGTGCGCCCCAGTGGCGGTACCGCAGTGAGCTCCTGGGAGGTGCTCTTCGGAGACTCCGTGTCTCCTGACAGGCCGCCCCGCGCGTCCTCCCCGAATGCTCGACACTGGAACCATGCAAACCTTCGGTACGGGGGGGAGGGGGAGGTGGAGGAGGAGGAGGAGGAGGAGGAGGAGGAGGAGGAGGAGGAGGAGGAGGAGGAGGAGGAGCAGGAGGAAGAGAGGAGGAGGGGGAGGAGGAGGAAGAGGAGAGGAGGGGAGGAGGAGGAGGAGGAGGAGGAGGACGAGAAGGAGGAGCAGGAGGAAGAGGAGGACATGTGTGGGAGGGATGGAAAGAAGATGGAACAAAGAGGGAGACGAGAGGAGGGAGCAGGACGGAGGAGGAAGAGAGAGAGGGAGAGAGAGAGAGAGAAATGGAAAAGGGAGAAGCAGTATGGTTGAGGAGGGGGGTGAGGAGGCGGCGGAGGAGGAGGGGGAGGAGGAGCTCGAGGAACAGGACGGGGAGCCGACGGAGGAAGTAGCAGGAGCGGGAGCACGAGCAGCAGGGAGAACGGCGGGCCGCATACACACAAATAAAATGATTCCCCATATTTTCCCATAGTTTCTGGGTTTTTGTCTTCCCGCCCAGTTCCCATATTTTCCCATATTTTCCTGGGACTCGACGATTAATTGTGTCTGTGTGTTTTTTCCCCTCCTGAGAAGAGAAGGGTGGAAAAAAGGGGGGAGAGGGCAGGCGCATCCGGCGGTGCGCGATGTGCGGCTACCGTCGCGCCCACGCGCCGCCGCCCTCGAGAGGAGCGCTTCTCTGGCTCAGGCCGCGATGCGTGAGGCGCGGATATCTTAGACAAAGAAAAAGTGGAGGGGCACGGGGGTCAACGGGGGGGAAGCGCCTGCTACGAATGGGGAAGAGCGACAGCAACGGCAGGAACGGCAGGAACGGGAGGAGGGACAGCGGCAGGCGTGAGAGGGAGGGGGAGCGGGAGCACAGGAGAAGGAGGACGAGACTGAGGATGGCGAGGAGGACGAGGAGGAGGAGGAGGAGGAGGCGGAGGAGGAGGAGGAGGAGGAGGAGAAGGAGGAGGAGGGGGAAGAGAAGAAGGGAGGAGGAGGGAGGAGGGGGAGGGGGAGGAGGACAAGCTAGGTGCGCTCGCGTCATATCTGACATCCTGAGGAGGAGGAGGAGGAGAAGGAGGAGGAGGGGGAAGAGAAGAAGGGAGGAGGAGGGAGGAGGGGGAGGGGGAGGAGGACAAGCTAGGTGCGCTCGCGTCATATCTGACATCCTACCCCTCCCTCCCATCCCTTACCATGGCGCAGATCCCCTCTCTACTCGCACAGTCGGGTGTCAAGCAGGGCGATGATCCCGAAAGGGTACGCGATGCATTGTAGAGCACGGCGTGGCATGGCGTAGAAGAGCACCGCGAAGCGTAGTATCAACCTAGCATTGCATTGCATGCCGTGGCATGGCACGGGAAATGACGCCAGCGCTGCAGCGGGAGCACGAGTCGAAACGAGCGGAAGCGCGGAAATGAGGCCAGCGCTGCAGCGGGAGCACGATTCGGAACGAGCGGAAGCACGGAAATGAGGCCAGCGCTGCAGCGGGAGCACGATTCGGAACGAGCGGGGCCCGAAAATGATGCCGGCGCCTCAGCGAGAGCAGCATTTTGGAAAAAATGCAGGCGAAAACCCAACTCCGGGGAAACTTGTGTGTAAAAAACAGTACGCGGGGGGGGCGAATATTCCCAAGACGTCATCAGGGGAAGAGGGAGAGTAGTATTCATATTGAGCAATTGTGGTGGAGGAGGAGGAGGAGGAGGAGGAGGAGGAGGAGGAGGAGGAGGAGGGAGGAGGAGGAGGAGGAGGGAGAGGATGAGGATGAGGATGAGGATGAGGATGAGGATGAGGATGAGGATGAGGATGGAGGAGGATGAGGAGGATGAGGAGGGGGAGGAGGAGAGGGTGAGGATGACGAGGAAGAGGCGGAAGGGAGCGTGTAGGCGGAGGACGGGGCGGGAGGTGGCGGAGGAGGCCGACGACGAGGAGGAGCAGGAACTGGGCAGCGTGCTGCAGCTGCCACCGCCATCCTTCTCCAACCTCCCGCTCCGCCTCCCCGTCTCCCTCCAGGGCTCCTCCTCCTGCTCCTCCTCCTCCTCCTCTTCATCTTCCTCCTCAAGCCTCCACCTCCCCCTCCTCCTCCCCTCTCCTCCTTCTCCTCCTTCTGCTTCCTCCCCCAGCTTCATCGTCCTCCTCCTCCTCCTCCTCCGCCTCCTCCTCCCACGAGCGGCTAGGCGCCTGCTGCCGCCGCCCTTCAGCATCCGCTCGATGAACGGCGTCTCCAGGGCGCACATGTACGCCCTGCACAAACTCCTCTCGGGGACCACCGGGCCCAGCTGCTTGTGGTCCCCGATCACCTGCCCTCCCCTGAGATTTGGGCGCTGCAATTTGCTTACACCTGGCGTTTTCGACCAGCTTCGAGGCCCGGAACCTTCACAGATCGATCCAGCGCGAAGCAGAAAGATGGCTGCGGCGCGATTTACAGGATGTTGCATTCTTTAGGCAACATCGGAGGATGAGGAGGAGGAGGAGGAGGAGGAGGAGGAGGAGGAGGAGGAGGAGGAGGAGGAGGGAGGAGGAGGGAAAAGGAGGGCGGACGAGGAGGGGGGGGAAGAGGAAGCTTTACAATCGCTCTGTTGGTTTTGTTGAATCATCGACGCATCCATCTGCGATCGCAATCAGGAAACCCAACAGCTGCAAAGCGCAGAAATGCGCAACGCAGAAAACCACTTTGAATACAGCAACGCTCAGTACGTCGCAAATTCAGCTTGTGCAATACACTTTCGCTTACACCAACCACCGAGTGCACAATACTCTGCAACAGAGCACGATACGGCCACAGGTGCCACCTTGTTACTAGTGAGTCTGGCATGTCTGGTTTCCGTCGCTTCGCCCTTCAATCGCATCAGCACCTCATGTACGGCCCGCCAAGTCGCACGACTGACCCCACCTGGTGTACTCCTGCATTCAGGTCATTACGTCTTTTCTGCGTCTGGATGTTGATTGCATCTGCACCCGTGGAAGTGAGCTGGGCTTTTGATCAGCCTTTGACGTCCTATAATGCGGCCGAGTATGCCACACTGCCCGACAGCACAGTCTGCACCTTGAACGTGCTCAACCAGAACAGTAAGAGCGCATCAGATCCACTCATCCTCCTCGCTGAAGTGCTCTCTGCTAGCCTCCTCCTTTCCTCCAGCACCCCCGCCCATTTCACCAATCCTGCTGCCGTCTGATATTTCGACCTTTTCCACTCGTTTGGTTCCTCCTGATACTCAGATTTAAGTATGCGGTTGTACTCACTCATACAATTCTGTGCCGATTCTGCGCTGCGGGCAGCTCCGCTTTTCCCTTTCCTCATTGGCCTTTTTGTTTCATCATGCGGTTCCTGCTGCTGCACGGTGCTTTCGCCTTGATTTCACTTCGCACCGACGCTACGGCTACTATCACCAAAGTCGGCGTAACAAGTGAGGTGGAAGAGGAATAACAACAACGGCAGGACTTCTGTTCCGCTCTGCCGCTCTCAGAGCTCCTTGCGCGTCGTGCCCGCCCTCTTCCTGGACTTGGGCCTGGGGAAGGAGCCCCAGTTCTCGCAGAAGAGCAAAACATAACTGCGCAAGCATACGCTTTCGAACCTCCGAAAGCCTAAGTCGCCGAACTTCGCACATCGCGCCCCGCGACGCGTGGTTATCTCTGCGCCCTCCCGCCGCCGCCGCCCTGGTAGCGCGGTTGTGTTCGCGCCCCTCTCGTGTGACCCAGGAAAGCGCATGCCTCTCCGGTGGTTTGCTCTTCTGGCCTCGTGCACGTCCCAGTTCACCTCCGCGCTGACGCCCTCGCGGTACCACTGGGTCGCCGTCGTCTTCTGGCCCCGGAGCACGGGGCACGCCGCGTGCGTGGACAGCGACCTGGGGTCCGGGTTGTACGAGAAGAGGAGGAAGGACCCCGGCGAGGGCTCGAACTTCAGGCGGTCGCGCGGGAAGACGGTGCCGCCGCCCTCGTCCGCGGCAGCACAATACAGGAGGGACGAAGCGACCCGCTTGCCCGTCTTGACGTGCCGGGTGCCGCAAGGGCCGTCGCAGTGGGGGCGGTACTCATACCCGGGCTTGTAGAACAGCCAATTGACTGGCTCCTGCCCCTCCGCCCCCGCCGCGAGCCCCACGGCCGCCCGGGCGAACTCGAAGAAGCGCAGGGCCACCCGCGTGAGGGCGCTGTCAGGGTCCTCCAGGTCCGGCCACAAATTCGCTGTGAGGGTCCGCCGGGAGCGCGAGAGCTGTGTGCTGCCGCTGCCGCCCACCGTCGCCTGCTCTAGTTGGTTGGTACCCGCCTCCGCCGACAGCTCGCCGCACACTCCCGCGCCCACGAAGTCGCGCACCGCGAGGACCAGTGGGTCCTCCCGGAGTACCTGCGCACGCAGGACTTCCGGGCCCCCGCCCTCGAAGCTGGTGACGTTGATGTCTATGGAGCGCAGCGGCTCCGAGGCGCGCTGGTAGCTGCACAGCAGCCAGTGGTCCCAGCTGCTCCACAGCTTCCCGAGCAGCGCCCGGCCCTCGTGTTCGGGCAGCAGCACACCGGTCCTCGGGAGGCGCGCGCGGTCCCGGAGGCACTCGTAGCCCTGCCAGGCGGCCGCCTGGGCCTCTGGGCCCCTCGGCACGCCCTCGTCCTCCGCGCACCGAGCGGCCACGTCGCTCAGGAAGATCTTGAGGTCGTCCTCGCCGAGGAGCTCCGCCTCCAGGCGCCCGCCGGCCCAGGCCGCCGCCACCAGCGCGAGCTCGCCCGGGTACAGGAAGGTCTGGGACGCGGAGGAGGCTCCGGAGGCCAGGTAGAACACCTCGCCCTTGCGAGCGCTCACGACGGCCGTGGCGGCCGCCTCGCCAGCCGCGGCCTCGAGGGCCGCCACCAGCGAGGAGCTGTCCCAAAGCTCCCCGCCTGAGGCGCCCTCGCTCGGCAGGCCAGGCGGCAGCCGGCGCAGCTCCAGCCGCCCAGCGCCCGCTGGGACAACCACGACCAGCGCCTCGTCGGGCAACGCGCCGCCCCCGCGCGCCACCGCTGGGGGGGGGCCCGCGCCCTGGGGCGGCCAGCGTTCCGACAGCTTGTCCAGCACGCTCGCCAGGGAGACCCCCAGCCGCGGCGACCTCGCGCCGCGGGTGCCAGCGGCCACTGGCTCGAGCTGCTGCGGCCCGAGCAGCTCCACATCCAGCCCGCCCGAGGCCCCGCGGCCCACCGCCAGGACGTTCAGGTCCCCGAGGTGCACGGCCATGGGCCCGCCAGAGCCCCCGACGCGGAACGCATGCCCCGCGGCGGTGTCCAGCGTGTGCGCCGAGGGCTCGCCGGCGGAGCCGGCCGGTATGTTGCCGAGGTCGACCGCATCGCCCTCGTCGCCCGGCCCCGCCCGCAGCCACTCGAGGCCCAGCTCCTCCGCGGCAGCGTTCAGCACGACGAGCCTGGCGGTGACGGCGGGCAGCGGCGGCGGGCCGATACGCGACGGCAGACCGACGCGACGGCGAACTAGCAGACCGACCGACAGACGGACCGACGGATCGCAGCTCAAGCAAGGGTGTGGCACGAGGGGGGGGGGCATCTGAAAGGCGTGGGTCTTCGCAGGAGGCAGGGGCCTCTCTAATCAGGCCCCCGAAAGTCCCTGACTAGGCTCATAGCAAGCCCGGGAGGTATCTGGGACCCCCCCCACCTTCTTGGAAGGCGCGCCAGCAGGACGGACGACGCCGACGCCGAAACCGATGCCGACGCCGACGCAGACGCCGACGACGACGACGACGACGACGACAACGCCGACGACGACGACGACGACGACGACGACGACGACGACGACGCCGACGCCGACGCCGACGCCGAAGCCGACGCCGACGCCGACGCCGACGCCGACGCCAACGCCGACGACGACGACGACGACGACGACGACGACGACGACGGTGACGACGACGACGACGACGACGACGACGACGACGGCGCTCGGCACGGCGCTCCTGTCAGGGGCTGGGCCGCCCGCCGCGTGCCTGGCCACCAGGAAGCACGCGGCGAGCGCCGCCCGCAGCGTTGCGGCGAGGAGGCTCCCGGGCATGACCAGCGAGAGCCCGCGGCTCTCGGCGCCCCGCTGGGCTCCCGTCTGAGCCCGCTGGGCGTCCGACCCTGGGACCCGGCGCTGCGGAAGAACTGCAACGCCGCACAAGCATCACGACCAGAGCCCCGGACCACGCGCAGAGGGGGGTTAGGGGGAGGGGGGAAGGCTTCTTAGAAGCAGGCTGCTTCCGAGAAGGCGCGGGGCCCTGCATCTGCAGACAAGGCCCGCGCCGGCCTCCTTCTATAAGAGGCCTTCCCCTCTTCCCCTAATTACCCTCCCCTGCGCGTGGCCGACCACTTTTCTGCGTCCCTCTTCGAGACGGATCGACCTGCGAGGGCCTCGGGGCGCCTGACAGCCCGGCGCAAGCGCCAAGTGTGAAAACAAAGGGCGACGCCCGGATCGCAGATCCCCCCGCCCCCGTCGGAACCCGCCCCGTCGCCCTGCCGCCCCACCGCAAAACGCTCCGGACCCCCCGGCTGCCCCCGAGCGCAACCCCCCCAGGAGGAGGTCTCTTTCCTGCGAGCGAGAAGTTCTCGCTCGCAGGAGGAGGTTTCTTTCCTGCGAGCGGAAGTTCTCGCCGAGAACAGATCCCTGCCACAGCCAGCATTCGGCTGCGGTGGCCGGGGGCACACTGCTGAGGTGCCTCACCCCGCCCCGCACAGAGACTCTGCCCCGGTGAAAACTGGGGTCGGAGAGCTCGCTCCCAGAAGGCGTCGCACTCCCATGGCAGCAAGGAGCGGGACAAATTGCGGCATCGCAAAGAAGCACGCCTGGAGCCCCAGAAACTCCAACTTTCTGCTTCATTTCTCGAGCCGGATGGGTCTTCGGCTACACGCAAGAGAGACCCTGTGTAAGAGTGACCTTTGGTGCGCGGCTCTTTGGGGGCCACGGGGGGACCAAACACAAGCGTGCAAGACGCTACTATACCGCATGACGTTCGGCAACTGGAGAGCCCCAATGGGCCCGCACCAGAGACCACTCCGGCGAAGGAGCACTCGTACGTGCAGTCGAACCGCTCTGCGTCGTAATGTGAGCCAGATCGATCTGTGGGGGTCCCGGGGCCCGAAACCGGGCGAACACGCCCGTCGTGACAGATCTCACGGGGCTCCGCTGCCCGCCTCCAGGGAGAGCGCCGTGCCAGGGCCCGCCCGGCGTGTCGCGCTGGCGCATGCCCAGACCCCCTCGCGCCGTGTGGGACGGACCCGGAGATCTTGGCGTGCATTTTTGTCCGAGCACGGGCGTTTTCGCCCAGTTTCGGGCCCCGGGATTGTCACATCGATCCGGCTCGAAAGATGACGCAGGGGAGTGGGGTCTGGGGCTCCTGGCGTGATTTTGTACGATGTTGCATCCTTTTCGCTACGTCGGATCTCAGGGCACAAGGACATACAATCAACCCGTCTAACAAGAACGCCCGTTAAGGATGCAAGGGCCTTGGAGGGCCATGCCGACACTCTGCGAGCGGGGCGCGGCGAGCGGAAGCGGCCACGGATGGTCCGAAGGGGAAGGATGCAAGGGTAGCCTCGGGAAGTCGCCCATCCTTACTATGCGGGTTGACTGTGGTAGTCCTGTGTGTCCTCCTTGGAGGCGCGCGTCCGACCCGAACACGTGGTACAAGCATCTTATAGTATATCGTCTCCCGAGCGGTACGGCCAGAAAGCACCCGCCACGGAGCTTGTACGATAAGGTTTCTCGGCGCGAGCGTCGCCCCTGAGGGGGCGACGTACACATAGTGTTAGTATGTTGTGGTGGCGCAGATCGTGAAAAGAATCACGACGGGAGATGTTTCGCCATTTTCGGCCTCCGGGGGCCCTCGCAAGGCCCCGTGACCTCTGAACAGACGGCTCGGGACGAAAGCTGCTCCCGGGAAATGGGTCGAGAGTTCTGGGGGTCGCCGGTGTGAAAGAATGATGACGTTGGGGGTCTGGGTCGTGAGGGCAGGAGGGGCCCGGTGATGGTGGCGCGGGCGGCTGGAGGTCACCCGACTTCGCGCATCGCGCCCCGCGATGCGTGGCGCACGGCTATCTTCGCATATCTTCGCGCACTCGCGCCGCCGCCCTGGAGAGGGGCACCTTCGCGACCCAGGATGCGAAGCGCGACTCCCTTCGCGCCTCTGGGGGTGGCCCGGGGAGCGGTCCGGGCAGCGGGAAGGGGGAGAAAGCGCAGCCCCGTCTGAGAGTCGCGACGCGGCTGGCAGGCACCGCACGCGCTCCACGGCGGCGGTGAAGGCGAGGGCTGCGGCAGCGAAGACGACGGTGGGCGCAAGCAACACGGCGACGGCGGCGACAACGACGAAGACGACGACGACGAGGGGAAGGAGCAAGACGACGACGACGACGACGACGACGACGACGACGACGACGACGACGACGACGACGACGACGACGACGACGACGACGGCGGCGACCCTCCCGCCTGCTCCCCGTGCTTCTGCTGCTGCTGCTGCTTGCTCATCCTAGGCCCCCTCCCTCCTCCTCCTCCTCCTCCTCCTCCTCCTCCTCCTCTTCCTCCTTCTCCTCCTTATCCCTCCTCTTCCTCCTCCTCCCACCCCTCTCCTCCTCCCTCTCCCCTCCCCTCCCTCCCTCCCCTCCCCCCTCCCCTCCCCTCCCCTCCCTCCCCTCCCTCCTCTTCCTCCTCCTCCTTCCCCATGCGTAAGCCGCGCAGAGCCGAGGAGCCATCCGACGATTCGGATTGCGGATCCGACGGGCTGTTTCTACTGAAGAGACGCGCCTCTAGGTCTATATGCTGGTCTATGGAGGGAGGACGGGAAGACCGTCTCTGCGCCAGGACTTTCACACGAGCTCAATGTACGCCATCTCCGCACCTCTCTTGGGCATCGTGCGGGTGACCTGCGTGAAGTCCTTGAACTTGTCGCTGTAGCGCTCTGGCGCCAACTTGAAGAGGTTCTCGACCAAGCCCGAGTCGATCATCCATTCCTCGGCCTCGCGCCGGGACAGGTCGTCGCCGCGTTTCGCCAGAACGATCATCCTGTCGATGAAGCTCTGCACGGCGAGCGCCCTAGCGTAGGTCGATTTTACGCGCCCGTGCTTGATCACCGCGGTCGTCAGGCACTTCATGATGTCCTTGCGCTTGTCGAAGGAGCCGCCGCTGAGCTTCGGTATGGTGCGCTGCTCGCCGTTCCTCGGCCTGCCCAGGCGGGGGCCCCGCATGATGACGTAGTCGATCTTGGGCCCGTTGTACTGCGGCCCGAAGATCGCCGCGTAGTCCTTCTTGCCGTAGCCGCCCGCCTTCTTGTAGAACCCCATGGCTCGGGGGGCGTCAACCGGACCACCTGGCGCCCGTCCAGGGCTGGGCCCACCCTGGGCCCGGGGCCGGCGCCTGCGCTATATACGATTCCCCGGCCAGGCCACGGGGGGGCTGGGCGGGGCGCCTGCATCGATCCTGGGCCCAGGACCGGCTGACCCAGCGTCCATGCATGCAGCCATCTGCTACCATACACCCTGCGAAATGCTTTAGAAATCATGGGTTAAGAAATTCATAGTCTCAGAATTTGAATAAACATCCAGAATGTCTATTCAAATCTTAGGATCTACATTGAAACATTAAGAATAATCGAGACTCTGGCCGAAACCTTGGGTTTTCTTAAGCATCGCCTAAGGTGTAGGGGAGCGCCGAACAGGGACGGACGGGGGGCTTCTCTGGCCACGACGAGCCTCGGGCGCGAAGCAGGCTTCCCGATCCAGACCTTCCCAGGAGCGGCCGGAACACCTGAGCCCCTCCCTGAGCTGGGGGGTCTGAACTGGTTGGGGCCCCAGAGAGTCGGCCAGGAGCCATGGGCCCAAATCCGCTCAAAGTCGATCCCCAGACCCCTCCTGGGGCCCATCCAGCGCAGTTTTTCACCCCGGATCCGTTCTGACGGTCCCAGGGCCCGCCCCCAGGCCCGAACCAGGCGAACAAACAGCCTTCTCGAACCCAGGTCCTCGAACCTTTCCTCCTGGCCGGAACCAGTGCTGGGCCACCCCAGACCCCCCCAGACGGCTCCAAGCCGAAAATGGAACTCTCGTCGGTGGACTTTCATTTCGTCCGCTTTCGGTTTCGTCCGCCTTTCGAAGCGGACGAACCGAACAGGACGAATCGAAGCGAACGAAATGAATTTCGGACGGAATGACATGGAATTCTTTCCTCTGATTACGTACCAGACCATCGCAACCCAACCCGAAGTCCCAGTGCCTCGGCTGCACCAGGTCGGGAACAGTGTCATGATAGGATTGGCTCAGGATGCGTTTCAGGACTTCCAGAACATCTGGCCGCCCTCGCTTCTGCAGCACCTGTGGAACATCAGGAAGTCTGGGAAATCCGCTGGCCCTGTCGGCGTGTGTGAGGGGCTGTCTGTTCGAGTCGTCGTCTCCGTTGGTTGTCGTCTCCGTCGTCCCCTCTCCCCCTGCACCATCCTCCTCAAGCCTGTCGGCGAGAGAAAGATCCAGCACTTTCGCCATCGAGCCGAAAGGACGCCCCTTCTCTCGGATCCCTCCCCGACAATCGGGGGTGCCGGTGTGGGGGGGGGGGGGGGGGGCGTAGGGCCTGCAGGGGGGGGGGGGGGGGGCGTGCGCCTCCGATGCACAGCCGACGCCCCCCGAGATCGCCGTGCGGCCGCGCGCCGCGCCGCGGGCGGCCAGCGCTGCGGCCGCGCCGCAGGCCAGGCACGCGCCCGCGCGGCCGGCAGCCCGGGCGCCCTCGTCGTATCGGCCGCACGCATGGGGCGACCCGAGACCCCCTCGAGGAGACGACTGCGACGAGGACGAGGAGAGCCGCCCTTCTCCTCCACACCTCCTCCTCCTGCTCCTCCTGATTCCTGACGGCGTGGGGAGTCTCCGGCTGCCGCTGCCCCTCCTGATCCTCCTCCTTCTCCTCTCCTCCTGCTGCTCCTCCTCCACCTTCCTCCTCGGGACCCCCACGCCACACGCAGGAGCGACCCCCAGACTCCCTCGTGTCGTTTACGTGTTCGACAGTGGACCCCTTTTTGCCCGTCGCTCCTGGGGCTGTCTTCGGCGGTCTCCGCACGGTCTTCGGCGGTCTTCGGCTGTTTTCGGCCCTCTGCGGCGGTTTCTGGTGGTCTTCGGGGCGAAAGCTGGATGGTTGCGGTCAGCATTGGGTCCATCATCGTGAACAAAATCACGACGGCATTTTTTTCGCCCTTGTCGGCCCCTGGGGGTCCTCGCACGGCCTCGGAAGCGTCAAAAACCGGCTCGGGATGAGAACCTGGTCCAGGAAAATGGGCCAAAACCTCTGGAGGTCGACGTGTGAAAAATCATGACGTCGGAGGGGGAACCGGGCAAGAGTGACCTCTGGTACGCGTCATCATGAGCGTCGCTTCGCAAATAGCCTATCCCCACTGGCGTGACCCTGGCCCCACTGGCCGACTTACCCACCTACGGTAGGTTCGTGCAGCATCGACATGGCGGCGACCCCGCGGCGGGCGTTCACGCTTGAACGCCGCCAGTGGCCCAGAATCCACCAATATGGAACGCTCTGGCGATCGAAAAACTCCGATCGTCCAAAGTCGAACGATCCACGCTGTGTCAGAAACCAACGCTGGGGTCGTCACGACAAGAATCTGCCGCACGTGGGGACAACCTGCCTATTCCTTCGGGCTTCGCGGGGCCTGTCCCCACCTGGGAGGGTGGGCCCCGTGGGGCCGAGGCACCATGGCCCAGTCGGGATGGGAATGGCCAATACGATGCTGACCCTGGACGGGCGCGGGGGGACGCCGAACCCGGGCGCGCAGGCCGCTGCCGTCGCGCCGCACTCGCTGTCGGGAGACTCCCCGCAGACCTCCGAAGTCTTAAAAGTGGCCCCCCTGGGAAGTCCCGATCCTTTCCACAAGGCCGGCTTCGCATCCCGAGTCGGTTTTGGACGGTCCCAGGGCCCAGCGAGGGTCTCCGGTGGCCGAAAGCTGCAGAGAAGCTTCGCAGTACTGCATTTCTCGAGACGTTCTCTGAGATCTGAAGTTGCCAAACAATTGCAACCTCGCGAAAAATCACGACAAGAGCCCCAGACCCAGCGTCATCTTTCGAACGGGATCGATCTGTGATGGCTCCAGGGCCCGAAACTGGGCGAAAACGCCCTCATTGTCAAGAAATTGCAACGCCAGGATCTCAGGGTTGGAGGACTGGGCCCGTGGGTCTGCACTAGAGGTCACTCCGACGAAGGGCTACCAATGCGTGCGGCTGACCTCGGCGTAGGCGAGAATGATGATGATGCTGACGATGATGATGATGATGATGATGATGATGATGATGATGATGATGATGATGATGATGATGATGATGATGATGATGATGATGATGATGATGATGATGATGATGATGATGATGATGATGATGATGATGACGACGATGATGATGGTGATGATGACGATGGTGGTGATGATGATGATGATGATGGTGGTAATGATGGTGATGAAGAGGACGAAGGAGCTCACGATGATGAAAATGATGATGATGATGATGGTGATGATGGTGGTGATGATGACGATGATGGTGATGCTGATGATACTGAAAGTAACGACTATGATGGATGGTGGTGATGGTGATGGTGATGGTGATGACTGTGATGATGAAGATGGATTCTGTGATGCTGATGATCATGAAGAACAAGACAGTCCCGATGATGATGGTGATGATCATGCTGACGGTGATGATGGTGATACTGGTCATAATAACGATGATCATGATGGTAATGCTGATAATGGTGGTGATGATGATGGTAATGATGATGATGATGATGATGATGATGCTGCGGATCACGCTGATGATGGTACTGGTGATGGTCATGAAGGTGATGACGATTATGACAGTGATGACGATGATGCGGATACTGATGACAACGATGATGATGAAAACGATGCTGATGGTGATGATGGTGGTGATGGTGACGACGATGATGTTAGTGGTGATGCTGATTATACTGAAGGTAGGGACTATGATGGTGGTGATGGTGATGGTGATGACTGTGACGATGAAGATAAATTCTGTGATGCTGATGGTCATGAAGAAGAAGACAGTGCCGATGATGATGGTGATGATGATGGTGACGGTGATGATGGTGAGAATGATCATGACAACGATGATTATGATGGTGATGCTGATGATGGTGATGATGATGGTGCTGATGGTGATGATGCGGATCACGATGATAATGGTAATGGTGATTGTGATGAAGATGAAGATGGTAACGATTGTGACAGTGATGGCGATGATGATGATGACAACGAGAATGACGGTGACGATGTCCACGTGATGGTAATGATTATGGTGGTAATGATGGTGATGAAGAGGACGAAGAAGATGACGATGATGATGGTGGTGATGGTGGTGATGGTGATGATGATGATGATGAAAACGATGCTGATGATGATGATGGTGATGATGGTGATGATGGTGACGACGATGATGATGGTGGTGATGCTGATGAGGGTGATTATGAAGATAATGAAGATGATGGTGATGATGACGACGATGTTGGTGATGGTGATGGTGGTGGTACTGATGGTGATGGTGGATGGCGAAAACGATGACGATGACGAAATGGATGATGATGACGATGATCATTGTGATGATGGTGATGATGAATAAAAGGATGCTGATTGCGATTATGATGGTGATGATGGTGACGCTGATGATGAAGATGATGGCGACGATGATGATGGTGATGCTGATGAGGGTGCTGAAGATGATGAACCTGATGGAAATAATGATGCTGGTGATGGTAGTGATGATGATGGCGATGACGGTGATGCTGGTAACGATGAAGATAATGACGATGATTGTGCTGATGATGGTGAATACTGTGATGATGGTGATGGTCATGAAGGAGAAGACAGTGCCAATGATGATGGTGATGGTAATGTTGACAGTGGTAATGATGCTGATAATGTTGATGTTGATGATGATGATGATGATGGCGATGATGAGGGCAATGGTGAAGATGGTGACGATGATGATAGTAATGATAATGCTGATGATGATCACGATGATGGTGGTAACGATGATGATGGTGGTGATGATGAACATGATGACGAGTATGATGGTGATCATGATTGTGGTGATGATGATAATGATGGATATGGTGACGATGATGATGATGACGGTGGTGCTGGTGATGATGATGGGGAGGCTGACGACGATTATTACGATGATGGTGGTGATACTGCTGGTCATGACGATGATCATGATGGTAAAGATTGTAAAGATGATTACCATGCAGAAAAAGATGATGATGATTATGATGGTGATGAAGATGGTGG